TGTACGCTTGCCTTCAACATGCATAACTCGTCTTTCTCTCTCTGCTTTCTATCTTCCAGAAAAGCAGACGCCAGCTCTGCATCTCCAGCAGCAACTGGTGTGGTTAGTGACGGCTCTTTCTGGGCTATTCCCCAAAGCCCTGTGGCCAAAAAACACTCTCTCACTTTTCTAACCCAGGTATGCCAGGACTGGGTAGTGAGCTTTTCAAACGGTACATCATACGTCTCCTGGCCGTCTGCCATCTTCTCCCCCGGGGCCCAGCGTACTCATGTCACAGTAGCTCTCCTCTGGCACCCGGTTCAGCAGACCAGTTCCTCCCAGCGAGCTCCTCTGCCTTCAAACACTAGGCAGGACTCCAGCTGGCTCCAGCGTCTCTTCAGCTGGCTTCAACACACACCGGCACGTCTTGGCAACAGCTTCAAACGTTTGCTGACCTCCCATAACCTTTGGCTATTGGATAGCTATTGGACCGGGTCCAGTAGGCTTCCTCGCGCCTCACTGCTCTTCTCCCCGGCTCTCCGTCAGTTACTTGTAGCAGAGTCGACACAGCGGTTGAGAAACTGTTGCAATGTGTGTGTAATAAATCAAGCTGCACGCAAGTGTTCTTGCTTATCTCCAAAAGTCTTTAATCGTGTAGAAAAACATCATAGATCACCCGGTGAGAGAGCGCACATCTTGCTGCCTCACCGCTGAAACACGGAAGAACAAAGAACACAGAGAAACACTCCCCTCTGTGCACAAAGCCACGCCTCAGAATGTGAGACGTCACTCAGAACTTCCTAACCCTGTAAGTTCTGATTCTCTCCACATATTCATCTATCTCTGTTTGCTGCATCTTCCCATTCTTTCAGATCTCTCTTCCAACACTACTGACACACATAGTTTAAACATTGCCAAAAAGGGGGGGGGGTGCAATTGTATGTATGATTGCAAAAGGATTCATGTGTGGTGTTTTACCAATGCTTTGTGCCTGTGTGTATGCTGAGAAAAATGGCAAAAAAGCATAGTTGATCTAATTGTGCATACAGTTGGTGTCGTCCTCATTCTTTGCTTTATCAAGGTGCTGATGTACCAGTAAAACACTGCACAAAATTAATCCTGAAGCAATTGTACATACAACCACAGCAGAGTTCATTTGTTTCGGTGTTTTATCTATGCAGATAAGTCAATAAATGAAAAGATTTTCAGACCATTATGCTTGTTTAATGAATTACCAATACACAGGGAAGTTGAGCTTTAGAGATATGGGGAGGAAGGAACTGAATCAGTCCAGATTTTCATGCTGGATTTCTGTTTCCTCTCCTTAAGGAAATGACCAGAAAGGTGTGAAGGAGGAATCCCCATGAGCAGTCAGCTGCAGTCTTCAGCTTCTACCCATCTCTGGAAGAAGGTGGCGTCTTCTCATTCATCCTTGCTGCCGGCCTATAGCTCATACTTAATGCAATAAAGTCTCAAACGCAACCCCCAACCTTGATGGTGGTGTCTAATTCTCTTCACAATTACTTTGCAACTGTTCAAAAGGCTGCAAATTTAACAGTTTATAGAAACAGCAGTGATGGAGCTGATATCATGTCATGTGAAAACAATGGAAAGGGTCACAGTTCAATGGCAGAGCATCTGTTCTATATGCAGAATGTCTCTGGTTCAATCCCTGGCATATCCAGGTACGGCTGGTAAAGATTCCTACCTAAAGCCCAGGAGAACTGCTGCCAGTCTAAGATAAATGGGCACATGACCTGGCTTGGTATAAGGCAGCTTCCTATTTAAATCAGCCCTTTATTTAGAACCATTAGGTCTAGCATCTTACTTCATATTTGGAAGACGGACCAGAACTCATTGGTAGAAGACATGTTTTGCATGCAGAAGGTCCCAGGGACACCAGAGAGGACCTGTAGCCGAAACCTTATTTGGAGTTGTTTGCAAATATTTTTGAAACAAATGAATATAGCTTGTTAAAAATAAGAAGAATTAACGAAGTATCTGTACTAGTAGTTGGTTTTTTCTGGTGGTAGGCAACACACTTGAAGCATTCAGCTTAAAGGAAGGTTGTGGACTAATACAACCTTCCCTAACCTAGAGCTCTCTAGGTGTTCTCAGACTCTCTAACTCTCATTATCCCTGACCATTAGCCATGCTGGCTGTGGTTGACAGAAGTCCAATGATATTTGGAGGGCTGCAAGATCCCCATCCCTGATTTAACAGATCAGGTTGGGGAAGGTTGGACTGACATCAGTTGAACGTGGTACGTGACCCCTCTTAAAATGCCCAGCAATATATGGAAGGCTGAAAGTTCACCACCCATTCTGCAATGGGACAGAGGTTTTTTGGTGGTTTGGAACCCAATGAACACACAAATGGGGTGTAGGCTAAAGATGTTATTGCACAGCCCAAAGAAAACCACAAAGGACTGCAATTAGTTTACATCCCTCAGATTGCTGTGAACCCTATCAGCAATGGTCATGAGTCCTGAAGGTGGAGCTTGGCTGGTACACAGCACTCTCGGTGGATAGCATTTCATAGACATTCCACCAGAAGAGGTGTTCTCGGGGCTTGTACACTTTTGTGTATAACATAGTTTCTGGGATAACACATCAGCTACCCACCAAACTGGAAGACACCTGGGCAGGCAGCCAAAACAGAAGTTCAGCAGAAGCCTATCTTAAATATTAAGATTCCCGCATGGTGACATAAAATCTGTGAGAAACCACTATTTTATGGAACAACAGGATAGGAACAGAAGTAACCCTCAAAGCCTTTCTAGACATGAAAGGAACATTGCTGCGCACCTCAAAACAGCAATGATTTCCTGCAACATCCCAATATACCGTCCCTGACTTAATGGATCGAGTTGGGAAAGGCTGAACTAATTTCATTCTCATGTGGGGAGTGGCGAACCTCCTGCAATCACTCTTAAAATGTTTACATTAGTTATTCTGGCTCTGGGTAAAAACAGTCTTTATGGGCTGAGGGAGGGAAGCATTTAGGGTGACAGTAGGAGGTACCTGTCAGGAGCTCGTCCTACACTCGAGTAGGACCCTGGCAGAGACACATGCCCAACTTCTAATAGTACCTCAAAGCCAGATGGACGGATTGACAAGGTGGAGGCTGGGCTATCAGGAAACTAGTGGTCTGGAAATGTAACAACCAGTTGCTGAGATCTGGAGAAGGCAGAAGCTTTTTCCCCATCAGGGTGTTCGCTCAACGTTAGTGGACTCCCATGCCCAACAACTCTTCCTTCCAGAATTATTCTTCCCCTGTTTGCCCACCTTTCATTTACCTGCACTCCCTTTTACTTAAAACCAGAGATGACCCTTGGCTGTTGGCTTCCTCCTCTTCCCAGGTCTAACATTTGCCTTTGTAGAACTCAGCAGGGAAGAGGCTGGAGAAAAATCTAGAATTAGTTGCCTCTGTCTATCATCGGCTCTGGCGCCACCTGCTGTTGGCTCCCTGCCTTCCACCCTAGAGGTTCCAATGGGCACAAACCACCATGGCCCTAGACCCAGTGTCTACTTGGAGGCTGGATTGCCCACCAGCCAATAGAACATACGTGCTCTCTCTCCCTCTCTGCACCCAATGGACAACATGCACAGTTGATGTCACAATAGCTGCACTTCAGAGTGTCCCTGGCAGGCCTTCATCAACAACAGGCACTCACCTTGAGCAAGAGGCCCCAGAGATGGCATGGGGCCGCAACAGTGACTTGAAGAGCAGGCCCTCTTGAGGAGGTGAGGTGAGAGGGGCATATGCAGGTGGGCAACATCTTCTGCCATTGATGGTGATGTCCTTTGTGTGAAAACTTCACAAGTTCCTTAACACTGTGGTCACTCTTCCCTGGGGTAGAATCAGTTACCCAGAGCTTCACAAACACACACTCCTCCCTTCATGCAAGCCATTCATGTTACCACAACTGAATGAAATGTTGCGGCCAAGCAGATAACCTGAAGAAGAGGGGCCCATGAGGCACAGGAAGCCTTGGCTGGAATCCAGATTGAAAATGAATCCAGAAATCACTTTCAGTCAATAGTGCCTGCTTGCTGCTCTAGCACCATTTGCAGCAAGTCTCATTTTTGCTCAAAAATCTTGGGGAAATGTTCCCCATGTTATAAGCTAATTTCATCCTGAACTCTCTTTAATGCTGGCCATCAGGGATAGAGGAAATTCTTGTTCTGTACACATTTGAGGCAAACTGGCTAAATTTGTCATTCTGAGGCAAGTACATGGAACTAAACACAGCTGTCATTCAAACTGCTGTTCAGTTAAAAAGAAAATCCATCGAAACCTGTATTTTTTTTATAAGGAGATGTGTTACCCCCCAAAAAACAGAATCCCACATTTTTAGGGGTATTGCATATGAAAATATGCATTGTAGTGGGAAAATTAACAGCTGTGCATTTTAGGGAGGAAATGTGTATTAAAAATTGCAATACATAGAATTTAAACATTATTTTGAAATATATATTTTTAAGAAGAATATCTTCACAGAATGAGATTAAGTGCACTTATTTTTGAAATCATGCAGAAATGCCATGGAATGGAAAGGGACTGATCTATCCATCCCTATTTGTCACTACAGAACAGACTATCTGGGAAGTGGCAGAGTCCCCTTCATTGGAAGTTTTTAAGCAGAAGTTGAATGGCCACCTGTCAGGAATTCTTCTGTTGTGATTCCTGCATTGCAAGAAGTTGGAGTAGATGACCTTTGGGGTCCCTTACAACTCTACAATTCTAAGATTCTGTACAACTGTATAACTGATATCTCTCTCTCTCTCTCATGACAGCTTCCCCTTCCCCTTCTTCTCTCATCTACTTCCATCATCCTGCTCATCATGAGTTCCAGTCATAAAAGGGAGCAGCCAGAAACCTTCAAACCAAGACCTCTCGGCTTAACCCAAGGTAACCCCCCAAGACCTCTTATGCCAAAGAACTAGGGCCATCTTATCAAATGACCACTGTTGTCTCCCTGACCTCCTCCCCTCTCCCTGACTCCAGGTCTAGCAGAGATGTATGAGGAAGAGCTGCTCTATGATGCCACCCTCATAGCTGATGGACAAAGATTCCCTTGCCACAGGTAGGTCTTGATTTTTCTGAGCAACATGAAGGCTGCCCAGAACTCATTGTTTGAATGTAAAGGTTGCACAAAGAGCATCTCAGGTTCATCTGCCTTTAAAAAGAAAAAAAAAGGGGGGGGAATCAAGTAGGTGAGGGCAGGGAACATTTTTTCAACCTTAAGGTCATATTCCATTCTCAGCAATGTCAAGGGGTGGGAGTCAGGAGTAGGTCAGTAATAAGTCACACGGTGTCAGGAAGTTAACTCTTGATTCAAAGAAACCAAGCAGTTCAAGCCTAGTGAACACAACTTTACCCGGTAGCTATTACCTCAAGGAAAATCACTTGCCAGGACTGAAGGTCCCCACTGTCCCACAGCTCTCTAAGTCTCCTCCTCCACTGGTTCCTTCTCAAGCAATTTGAGGTCTTGCATGTCTTTGTTCCACCCTCTTCATATCCCTTTGGGTTCTGAGAGACCGGGGGGGGGGGGGGAGAGAGATGGTCACAGCAAGAGGGAGAGACAGCCTGGCTTCATCCCCAGCCTGACTCATCTCTGCCTCTTGGCCCCTTCTCCTCTTCAGCCTCCAATTCTGCCTCTGCTTCTGGACTGCTGTCTTGCACAGTCTCCTCCCACTCACTAAACTGTTCCCTCTTCAGCTCCCAACACCTCCTCATCTCAATCTGCTCCCTCTTCTCCCTCTGACCACTCATCATCATCCCAACACCACTCCCCGGGGTCTGAGCCTTCTTCCCTTGAGGTTCCCCAGTTGGTGCCTCCTACCAGTCCTCTGCATCCAGCCAGTCCATGGCAAGCAACCTTCCAAGGGTTTGAACTTGGCCTCCAGCAATTGCAGTTCTCTCTTTCCTTCCCTGCAGAGCGCTGCTAGCAGCTATTAGCCCCTACTTTCGGGACATTTTCATCAATACCTGGAAAGAATCTGGTGGGAAAGAAGTTCTGCTTCAGGAGGTGTCTCCATTCATCGTCGAAAACATTCTGAAATATATCTACACAGAGGACATAACACTCACCCCTGAGCTGGCGCCGCACCTCTTTGCTGGGGCCAACCGCTTACAGATCATACCGCTGCAGAACCTCTGCTGTAAGTAAGTCACTGCATCTTTCTTCTCACACCATGACTGTGCATGCAGTTCCACAATTTGACAGGTGCAATGTACATCACACCATGAGCATGCAAATTCCAACTTGGGTGGCTTTAAAAGAGATAAATTTGTGGAGGATCAGGCTATCAGTGCCACTAATCCTGATGGTTATGTTCTACTTCCACTATTGGAAGCAGCATACTTCTGCATGCCAGTGTGCTCTTCCCTTCAAGTCCTGCTTATCTGCTGCCCATGGACATCTGGTTGCCCACTGTGAAAACAGGAGGGTGGCCTAGAGGGAACTGGAGTTCAGCATCATTTGAAGCAAGGTCCTTCAACCTTGGAGCTTCAGAACTACAGCTCCCAACATCCCTACCATTGACTATCCTGGCTGGGGATGATGGAAGTTGTAGTTCAAAAAACATTTAGGGACTCAAGGCTGAAAAATAAAGTAAGGTCACAAGTTAGTCACACCTGCTTTAGGTAAATTTGGAATGAGGAGTGAGGGATAATGAAGAACTGCTGCAAAGAGACAGCTTCAAAATCTGTGGTTGCTGTCTCATGGAACATTGAATATGGACACAAATGGAGAATCTAAAAATGTCTACAAAATTCTGGTGTTTTTTATGATTATAAGAGTTATATCCATAGAGAAATCCAAAGGAGTCTCCAACCAGTTTTTGCTGCAATTTAGAGAGTCTTTGTCAAGGCCCTTGGACTATGGATACAACTATGGGATTGCTTCATTCAACACAGCTTCCCAGTATTTGTTACATGGCCAAAGGATCTTCAGAACTAATGTAAAATCATGAAACAGCGGGTTGCCATACTAGCATGCATTTTCCCATAAGCAAATTCCTGCTGGATCATCCAGTCCACCCGGATCTCAGAGTGGCCATCCACATGTCTAGATAGGAAACTCACAAGCAGGACGTGGGTTCAAGAGCATTCTTCCCAGTTGTGATTCCCAGAAGCTGGAATTCAGAGGCATACTGGCTCCAACAGGGGAGGTAGAACAACAGAACCATCATGGAGGGTAGCCATTGGTACCCTTATGAATTTGTCTAATCCTCTTTCAAAGCCTTCCAATTGAGTGGCCATTTGGCGGTCCTGAGGCTAACCACCAGGTTTCATGAAGGGAGTCATGCTGGTTCCTCTGCTCCACAGGCCTTCCTGTTCCTTCTTTCTCCTTCCAGCTTCCTCGGGAAAAATCTCTCTGTGCAGAACTGCTTTGAGATGTATTCTTTGGCGAGGACGCATAAGAGTCCTGCCCTCCTCCATGCAGTCATACGCTTCCTCACCAGAAAATTCAGCCAGGTCTGCGAGCATGAGAGTTTCCGCCAGCTGGACCTCAGCACACTCATCACCCTGATATCCTCCAGCAACCTTGAAGTGGCTTCAGAGATCAAGGTCTATCGGGCAGTGCGACTCTGGGTGCAAGGGCAATCCAGCAAGCATGGTCCTCTGCTAGGAGACCTGATGCGCCATGTCCGCTTCCCGCTCTTCAGTCCGGAGGAGCAAGTCGAACTACAGAGGGACTTGGAGAAGTGGAAGGACCTCAGGCTCGAGTGGAAGGTGCTGGATGGCGAGGAGAGGTTTCGTCACATCAAGGGCCTCCGACAGGGCATGTACAAGCCGCACATCCTGTGCATCGACACCCAGATGTGCGAGTACCAGGAGCTGGAGAGTGAAGAGGCCCACATGGGCTGCTATGACCCACAGACCGAACTATGGGAGAAGCTTCCCGGCTTGCTGTCCTTGACGCATGCGTGTTGCGCCACAGCTGGTGAGAAGATCTACGTCTCTGGAGGCATCTGTAAGAACTCTTACTCCACCGCCGTCTATGAGTTCAGCTCTTTCAGAAACCAGTGGCTGCAGCTCGCACCCATGACTGTGCCCAGGGCTGCACATGGATTCCTGTTCCACAACCAGAAACTCTACGCCATGGGGGGATGGTGTCAGTTCCAAAGCTTCCTCAACTTGGCTGAGGCTTTTGATCTTGCGACAGGGACGTGGGCTACGATCGCAAAGCTCCCGTTTGCCCTGAGCCACCCGGCCTCAAGCGTCTTCCAGAACAAGCTGTACCTCCTTGGCGGCGCGACGGGAGTTTCTGGCCAATGGCTGTTCCACAAAGGCTTCCTGATCTACGAGACCAGCTCCAACACATGGACTCAGGTGCCTCTGTCCACGGGTTTCTTTGCTGCAGGAGCTGTGGCTGGGGACAGGGGGATCTATGTAATCGGGGGGTACATCGAGAAGAAAATACGGGGCTGGGTTGAAGGGCTCCTCATCCCCGAGAACCGCCACAGCTCTCGCAAGTGCTTCTTAGTCAATGAGACTGGCAAAATTAGTAGCGACATTGGTATGCCCAAACTGCCGCGTGGGGTTGCCAACGCAGGGGTAGTCTCCTGCGGGAAGCGGATCTACGTGTTGGGTGGGGAAGACTTAGCCCAGCGCTACAAGATGATTTACTACTGGGAGCCTGGAGAACCCCGCTGGCACCGGTGCACAACAGAGATCCCTACCACCCGTGAGGGCATCAGCAGTTTTGGATGTGTGACCATGATGAGGCCCATCCCACATATCCGCCAGCTCTTCCAGGGCACCGCCCTTGTCATTGTGTCTGCGGCCAGCAAATAGCCACCCCCCTGGTGATCCTGAATGAACTTTCAAGTTAGCAGAAACCGGGCAGACACATGCAAATAAATCATAGCAAAATTATGGATAGTCACCTACTGACTCGCTGCGAGACTTGGTCTGCAATGCTGTGAACAGCAGAACGCTTCCTATTGTTATCAATATAATTAATATTATTTTCTATTAGTCATGTCCATTGCTTTCAGAGTAAGACTTTGTTTTGTTTGCCCTTTTCTGAGTTCTTTTTCCAGCTCTCCAGTATTCTTTTTGAGGTGAGGTGATCAGAACGGTGCACCATATTCCTAGTATGGTTGCACCATAGATTCGTGTAGCAGTGTTATGACATTGACAGCTGTCAGGATGCTCTCAGTGGCTCCCGGCTGGTTGCCCAGGAAAGCATAAAGATAAGGAAACATTTCTTACCATCCTTTTTTATTTCAATGTTCCAGAGAGAGGCTATAGAACCCAGCCTCTTTGATAATGGCGTCCCAAGTGAATCTCCAGCCCCTGTCTCTCCCACTTCCTCATTCATCATCATCATCCTCATCCTCATTTCTACAGGTGCTGCTATTTGCCCTCTGTCTTTGAACTCTTTGCTCTCCTACTTTTAAGGCTTGCCAGGTTCCGGGAGATGGCAGGTCCGGAATGCTTTCTAATGACAATGTGTCAGCTGGGTGTTGCTCTGGCTCTCTCATTATTTCCCAACTTTCCCCCTCATCTGCCTTTGGGCTGTTACTTGCTGTATTTTTCACTCTATAAGACGCATCAGACCATAAGACGCACCTAGTTTTTGAAGGAGGAAAACAAGGGGAAAAAATATTCTGAATTCTAGAAACCATAACAGCAAGAGGGATCGCTGTGCAGCAGTCCCTCTTGCTGTTCTGGCTTCAGCGAAAGCAATGCAAAGACTGTTCAGGGCAGCAGGAGGAAAGCTCCCCCTGCCCTGAAGAGGCTTTGTGCGGCTATCCCAGAAGCCAGAACAGCAAGAGGGATCGCTGCGCAGCCTGCATTCGCTCCATAAGACACACACACATTTCCCCTTACTTTTTTTCCCTTACTTTTTAGGAGGGAAAAAGTGTTTTTTATAGAGCAAAAAATACGGTAGCACAAACCCCTGTTGTAAATCTATACAGTGGTACCTCGGGTTAAGAACTTAATTTGTTCTGGAGGTCCGTTCTTAACCTGAAACTGTTCTTAACCTGAGGTACCACTTTATCTGATGGGGCCTCCCACTGCTGCCATGCCCTCACCATGCAATTTTTGTTCTCATCCTGAAGCAAAGTTCTTAACCTGAGGTACTATTTCTGGGTTACCAGAGTCTGTAACCTGAAGCGTCTGTAACCTGAAGCATCTGTAACCTGAGATACTACTGTACTGTCTTCCTCTTCCTCTTCCCTGGAAGGGTCAGGATGGGGAGGCAACCTCCTCCATTCCTCCTCCTCTGCCCAGTCCCTGACAACAGTTTTATTTCCAGTCCTTGTTCTCGTGATCCCTTGTGTGAAATTTACCTTTTTCCCCCCCACAGCTGCTGCAGTTGATATCTTTGTTGACCTATCTGTTACAACCTTGTTCCTGGTTAGTCAGCTCCAGTTCAGACCCCATGAGTGTGTGAGATCAGGACACCCACAATTGCCTATCACTTCACACCTGCTTCTTTGAATCGCACCTGCCATTTTACTTGCCCATTCACCCAGTTTGGAGGAGTTTGGAGCAAACTTGGCTACTTCGCTGCTCACCCAAATTCTAGGACATTTAAAAAGCTTACCTCTTTGTTGTGACACACATGCACTCAGTTTAAGCGAGGGTAATTAAAATCAACTATTACTACAGTATAAATCCTCTTTTGGATACTCCCTTGATCTCCTTCTCCAGCTCAAGATCACCTGGGCATTTTGGTCAGGAGAGTGGATCATACAACCCCAGTACTGAATTGTCATTTACAACAATTCTGTGAAGGAGTCTACCCTTTTGGGGATTGCAATCACTAGAAATGCCCTATTGGATGTAAAGAGAGACCCTCATCTCCAGGAAGCCCTTCTCCATCCTTCCCAGAGATAACCATGTTGTTTCCATTTCGCCAGGATTCTGTTATGTCCAGACCAAGCATTCCTGCTCATCTCTCTAGGAATCGTACCTGATAGGTAGGGTGGGAGACATTTTTTCAGCCTGAGGGACCCATTCCCTTTCAGGCCACATTCTGGGGGCCACATGCCAGAAGTTGGCAGGGCCATAGGTAAAAGTGGGCGGAGCAATGGCAGTGAATTATACCTTTGCACAGTAGGCTGGCTTCTGTATACACTCACACAGTCCTCACTATCCTGATAATGAGAACAGCATCACCATGAGTTCTAAGACACATTCCTACTAGGGAAAACATTCAAGGAGTGTGTGAAGCAGGACTGGTGAGGGGAGTGGCCTGGGGAAAGCTTGTGTGGCTGGAGAGGGGTTGTGGTCTGGAGAGAGTCACAAGCGCCAGGCGAAGAAGAAGAAGAAGAAGAGTAGTAGTAGTAGTAGTAGTAGTTTGGATTTGCTATCCTGCTTTATCACTACCTGAAGGAGTCTCAAAGCGGCTAACATTCTCCTTTCCCTTTGTTACCGGAAAAATCCGAGGGCTCCCTTAGACAAAAAGCAAAGACACCAACCAGAGTAAATTGAAGCAAATCAGCAGCCTGTAGGCTTGGTCTTTATTGAGGAAAGACTGTCGCGACAGGGTGCTCCCCTCACTTGCAGGTGAGAGGAAAGACCTAGAAAGATGGTGTGCCAGACCTTATAAAAACTTTTGAAATTCCCCTCCTGTAGCTCAAGCCCACCCCCAGAAACATCATGCATACATTACAGAAAGGAGGGGTTGAGGGAGGAGTTGTGGTGGTAACCTGAGTGTCCTGTCACCTGGTTGGTTTCTCCTTTCCCCCTCCCCATGAGTCATTTTCTGATGACAAAAGGTAGTCGCAGTTTCCTGCCCCCTGAGGGAAGATCTGATCATTGTCCTTTGTTCCAGTCCATGCTGAATCCACTCCCATATGCAAGTTCTTTGTGATCTTGTCTTCTGTCTGGGATCATCAGGGTTGGCATAGCAACTGGGCAGGGCTCCTGTGGATGTGCTGGTATGGTGAAGGGATTATGGCTGACCAGAACCAAGCCACCCCCCTTTGATAGTCCTTGTCATATGGAGTAAAATAAAAATGGAACAGTGCAAATCCGATGTATGGTTGATTTTTCTATGAATTTATAACAGAAGTGTGGCGTATGTAGTGTGTGAGTGTGTGTGAAGTTTGTACAAACTGAATGATTGGGGTGGGGGGGGTTCCTGCTACACCTTCCTCCCCCACAACAAGCACTCTGTGAGGTGAGTGGGGCTGAGAGACTTCAGAGAAGTGTGACTAGCCCAAGGTCACCCAGCAGCTGCATGTGGAGGAGCGGAGACGCGAACCTGGTTCACCAGATTACGAGACTACTGCTCTTAACCACTACACCACACTGGCTCTAGAGGCCTAGAGGGGTACACATGGCCTCTGGTAGGGTTGCCACCCATCCTGTATAATACCAGATTGTCCCTTATTTCAATGTAAAATGCTATGGTAGGTATTGATTCAATACAGGACACAGTTTGTCCTGTATTTCCCCTATTTCTGTGTGCACACATTCGCTCTCCCTCCCTCCCTGCCTCTTGTTTCTTTCCTTTCCTGTTTTTCTCCTCGCCCCCTCTCCTTATCCCACCTCCAAGGAGGAGCAAACAAGGGCAAGGCTTTCATGTTGTCCCTTCCAGTCCCCTACACCTTTGGCATGGGTTAAGGTGCCTGGTGAGGGACGAGGGTGGCGCTGTGGCACTGTGGGTAAAAGCCTCAGCGCCTAGGGCTTGCTGATCGAAAGGTCGGCTACCTCGATACAGCTGCATGCATCCATCACTGGGCTCCGTGCTTCTCCATGCAAACCAGGTATGACCTCTCCAGACAATGGAATGACTCTGCTTATCTCTGTGGCTGCAATCTCCTGGATAACGCAGGTGCTGTTAAGCAGTTGAATACACAGGCATACTCCACCCAGTTCCCTCCCTTCCATTCCCCCCTTCAAGTAGCCCCGGGCTCTGGCAACCCATGCTATACCACTGCATTCCTCAGAGAGAAACAGGTTCCGAGATTCTAGAAACAAGCGGTTTTGTGTCAGTGTAGCTCAGAAGCCCCAGTTCTGAACATAACTATGTTCTACAGGATATTTGGGAGAGGAGGGTGAGGGAGAATTAGCTCCCCATAAGGCTTGCCCTCCACTCCTAATGTTTTTTCCTCTCCTTCAGAAGCATAACATGTGGAACAAAGTCTGTTTCCTCATCAGAATATGCCCCACTATTTATTTATTTTGTCCTGGCCTGAACGTACAGTACTGGATGTGTTTGAAAGGGTGTGTGAAAGGTCATGGATTTGAGCTCTGGGTAGCAAAGCACAGACAGGTTTGCAAATCCATGAGCACGTGTCTGCGTGTGACAAATTCCAGAGTGGCATCCGGGTTGGCTGCAATAGAGTGCAACTGATTGCTTTAAAGTCATTTCAGTGCCGGGGGGCAGGGGCAATTGCCACCTCATCCAGCCCACAACCCAACCCGCCATCCTATTCTGTATTTTGCCTGAACAAAGGTGGCAACCCTACCCCTGGGTTTGAGGTTCCCCGGCCCTCTCTTACACCACTTAGATGGAAAAGCATACAAATTACAAATAAAAAACTAACACAAGTGGGTAGGTGATGACCAGTCCTTCTGTTCTATACCTCTCGAGAGTTAAGTGCCTTCAGGTTTCTCAGGCAGATCATCGCTGTAGAAAGCACTTTGCAAGCTGTCTGTGAGCCTCACCACCTCTATGGCTGTCAGTGCAACCGATGTCTTTCGGAAAAGCTCTAGGATGGGCTTTTGGGGGATCTTCATGGTGGTGCAGCCAAAGCCGCTGAGTCCCCGGCTGGTGAATGGCAGCCTCTCCTGGCACTGGACCCACTTAGGGGCTCCGAGTTCCCAGTAGTAAACAGTGTTATAATATTCCACTTTGTTCTCTCCTTCCAGGTT